TAGTCAAAACTGGTATTGAATTAGTTGGAAAATATACGAATAATATAGGGAAGGAATGGAAAATAGCTAGTCAAAACTGGTATTGAATTAGTTGGAAAATATACGAATAATATAGGGAAGGAATGGAAAATAGCTAGTCAAAACTGGTATTGAATTAGTTGGAAAATATACGAATAATATACTGTAGAAAATAATGTTCACTCATATTAAAGGGAATATTCTCTAAGGAAAAGAAAAATTCAGAGTCGAAATAAATATATTTATAAAGAAACAACAAAATTTAGCTAACCCTCATTAAATTTCAAAATATTTCAAGGTGAGGGCTTCAGATTAATTCAACAAAATCTAAATTAACATAGAAACCAGAAGATGAGCTTGAAGGCTTATACCTATAATTCTTGGTTCAATACCTGCAGTGGGTACAGATCATTATGTGCTTGGAAATAAACAAGCCAGAAGACAAATTGGCTGGGGTTGCATGGTGAGAACAGTGTTGAATTCACAGGTGGGTACTCCCCCTGTGCAAAAATATGTGCCTGATATCAGGTTTATATAATGCTTACACCACACATGATCCTTGTCTTAATATAGACTGAAATCCATCAGACTTTAAACACCAAGTATTTAATAACATACAAATTCCAACAAAACACTTACAATGTACAGTTTCTTGTCACGGTTTTACTACACAAAAGATTATCAGCCAATCAACATATTGTACACTACATTACGAAGATGACCATCCACATTCTTTCAGAATGGTATTTTTTTTATTTTGTTGAATTTTAATTTTAGTTCATTCCCCCCAGCTTCACATTTTGGTGGAAAGGTCTGGATTTAACAGTGGGTGAGAAAAATTTCTTAAAATCCAAAGATAATCAAAGGGAACACACTCGCTGTGGTGGGACCTAGCACTTCTTGTGCTATCAAAGGGTTGATGAAGCAATGATATAAATTCTTGTTTGAAGTGCATCATGGGAGGTAAACTAAAGATTGGTCCTAGTGTCGAGAAGAACGGTTACTGCTCATTACTATCTGAAGATGACTTGATGATAGATGTCATGTCACATTTCAATGAATTTAGATGGTAAAATGGATGTTTTCAGCAGATGTCTTGCCCTGAATGACTAGTGACGGAAAGTTTTTGTTCTTCCATGACGACAATAACTTTTTTGCTTCCGAGAGTACACCACGAGAACTAACTTAGTCCGATAGTTTAGCTACTCCACGATCAAGATACGGTTCTGGTTTCACTACTTGAAAGATAGGCTGGTATCTAAGAGCAAGCTATAAAAACTGAGTCTAACGCTTTCGCCGATCTACGGTGAAGATGGTCATCGGTCAACATCGGGTTTCATTATCTGGTTGATAAACTGGTATTCATGAACTGTCTGTAATCAGATAATTATATCAATAAAATACATATCAGGTTTATATAATGCTCACACCACATATAATCCTTGCCATGTTCATAATATCAGACTGAAACCAATTAGACTTTAAATATCAAGTATTTAATAAGGTACAAATTCCAACAAAACACGTACAGTGCACAGTTTTACTACATCGATCAATCAAGACATTGTACACTACATTACGAGGATGACCACATTTTTTCAAAAAATGTTCCCATCATTCCAGACAAACTGCCAGATTTTCACAGACCAGCATACACACCACTTTTACATCTTTTTCCTTCTTGTTCTATCACGTTAGATTGTAATCTAATTATAAAGGATAACAAACGCATCAAAACAAAGTTACTCCAGATTACAGAAGGACTACTCTAAAGAAGGACAATAAAACAATTTCTGTTTATAAAAGAATATCTAATCCAAACCATCATCCAATATAATGAAATACAACCATGTAATTTTCAATATCTTGTTTTATTGTCCTGTTTTGTTTTTGTTACCCCTTAAAATGGATATGGTGCATCACACACCAATAGCAAACATGCACACCAATAGCAAACATCGCACACCAATAGCAAACATGTACACCAATAGCAAACATCGTACACCAATAGCAAACATCACACACCAATAGTAAACATCGTACACCAATAGCAAACATCGTACACCAATAGCAAACATCGTACACCAATAGCAAACATCGTACACCAATAGC